CTGTGCACACACACATCCATGTACCCACTCATCCACCTCCTCCTGCCGCCTCCCCCCCACACACACATTGCACTTTCTAAGGTGCCCATAACAAGTTTGAGGTCAACCTGAGATATATAGGACCCTGTCTCAAAAAATGATAATTTCTAAAAATAAACTTGAAGCCATACAGTATAATCGTTGAGTGCTTCAGTCTCTAACCCTGACTGAACGTCAAAGGAGCTCTGGAGCAGACGTTTATCAGAGTGTCTCTGTTGCCATCTGGGCCAGTCACCTGGGCACTTATCCAAAAGGTGTGGGTCCCACCCCAACTACCACACCAAACCATAGTCCCAGGAGCTGACACTATCAACCTGGATTTTGTTGTTGTTGTTGTTGTTGTTGTTGTTTTGTTTTGTTTTGTTTTGTTTTGTTTTCCAAGCCAGGGTTTCTCTATGTAGCTCGGGCTGTCCTGGAACTCACTCTGTAGACCAGGCTGGCCTCGAACTCAGAAATCCACCTGCCTCTGCCTCTGCCTCCCAAGTGCTGAGATTAAAGGCATGCACCACCACAGCCCGGCTTGACCTGGATTTTAACCAGCCACACAGAACCACTAAGGCCACATGAAAACTTGAAACATCCACCTTAGTTAGATTCATCTTTAGAATATTTGAAATACTCTAGTAAACTCCATGATTATAACAGGGATTCTCGAAGGTACCTTGTAAAGTTGCTAAACATGGATTTTAGGTGATTTTTTTTTTTAATCAAGAAACATTTTAGGAAAATGGTTTGAGTCCAGCTGAGCCGTCTTCCCTCCAGTCCCTCTGTCCCACCACACACACAATCTTATTCCCAGAAATGGGCCTGGGCTACCTGCCCTGCTCTGAGCTTAAGTGTGACCCACAGTTGAGCTGAATCTGGGACCAATCCTTGGAACTCAGTTTGGCCTTAGAGAGGGCTGGATACAATGTGGTCTTGGAACCAAGGTCCAGTCTGGGATGCTCAGCTGTACTGAAGACAGGGTAAGTTCCCACAAAAGCCTCAGAAAGTATCAGGAGAGTGACCAGTGACACACTCCACAGGACATGTCTAGGGGCTGCTGTGAACCCCCCCCTTGCTTGCCAGCCCTGGGGCCAGCGGGCCTGAATGGCTATAATCTGAGACCAAGAAGAGTTTGGGGAAAGCAAAGAGCTGTATCCACCTTACCTGGTTCAGCGAGGTCCCCCGGGACAGCCATCACTGGCTCCTTCTGCTCCTTGGGGATCATCCTGTGGAGGAGAAACTCCCACAGATGGCTCAGGAAGCCTCTTTTTCTCCCAAGACCTCCTCCGAGTCCTTGCCACCCAGACACCCAGCCCTGAACTGTCCATAGTCACAGGCAAAGGCTAGTATTGGAGGGCATTTAAGGTCTCTATGTGAGGGAGGAGACTGTGGGCCAAGGAAGCCACACAGATCAGAAGCCAGTCTACTGGGAAGTCACTCTCTTTAAGGGCTTCTTCTTAGGGTCTGTCCCCGTGCCTGGGGCTTTGGGATGGGGTAGGTGGGACCTTGAGCACAACTATCACCTGCTCACCAAGAGCTCTAACTAGAGGCTGGTAGAGGTTGGGGATCGTGAGTCAGGCCAGGGCTACCCTGGGGTCTTCACACTGGTACTTGGTCCTGAGGCTAATCCAATAATGGGCAAAAGCATCACATCCTGGTCCCCCATCTCTCCACCACTGTTCTACTTCCATAGCAACAAGCTATTGCAGGTAAAAGCCAGTATAACCACCTGACTCTACCAGCCCCATCTCTGTAGTACCCTTTGCAACTTTCTCCTTTTGGAAACCTGGCCCCTGCCCACCTGTCTTACCTCAGTTCCCAAGCACCAGCAGCAGCCCTCCACTGTCCCTGCCTGCCATCTCTTCTCTTACCCTTCCTCATCCCTCCCTTTCACTTCTTAATGCTTTCCAGGAATCGTGAAGCAGATTGACAAATGCAATCCCCAGAGAACATGTGTGAGTCCCCAACCTAGTTTCCCTAACGTGGGTCAGAAAAGGGAACCCCAACTTCAGTCCCTCATCCCTGCCTGTCCGTCAGCCTCCCTCTGTGGCTTTCAGGTCTTTCCATCTTCCACCTGGGTCCCCATACCCAATAGGACCCTTGTGACCACTGAGGTGAGTCCAATAGGCTCCACTGACTTTCTCTGAAAGTATGGACAAGCAATTTGCCAGTTCTGTGCCTCAGTCTCCCCCTTTGTAATTTAACAGCATTGGTTAGACTAAACTGTAAGAATGGGCTTTGGGGCATCTGTGAACCTCTAAAACTGAATGCAAATTTGAACATGTCTGCACACAGTTGAGGGTTAGGGTCACAAGATAATTGACAAGAACCAACTGCGACTTCTCTGGGTTAGAATGCCATAGTCTGATCTGTCCCCAAATAAACATTCACAGAATCTGAAAAGGGTCTCTAATGTTCATGGAGTTGTTTTTCTGCACGCTGAGATGAGACACTGCCTACCTCTCCCTTACCTTCAACCCCAGCCTTCCCTCCTGATGTCCAGGACCCTGGAGCTTAGAACTCCCTTCCTCCTAAGGCAGTCCCTAGGCCTCTCTAAGGCCCAGACTCCCCGGATCCCTTGCAAGGCCCTGAAAATTACTTTATCTTCTCTACCCACTCCCCTATGTCCCAAGAGCTCCCAAAGATGAGAGGATGATGCCTGTACCTGGTGGGGCCACAGTAGGTGGGAAGAAATGTCAGACCCCCAAGATTAACACTTCAGCCGGGGAGCTGGAGATCTATGGCCTGTGTCTATTGCAGGCTCCCAGGTCAGCAGTCAGCGAGCAGGGTGTGCCCTACAGCCAGTGCTGGCTTGAGCTGACAAGAATCATTCTTGTCTTCTCCGTGGGTCACAGCCTTATTTTGGGCTGCAACAGGAGCCGGGGGCAGATGCTTAAAGCACTGGGCTCTGGGGAAGACAGGTGCCCCGGCAGCAGGCCCTTGAAAACAGAAGGGCTCACACGCCCTGGCTCACACATCCACATGAGAACTCTTCAGTCACCTGGGAATTCTGGGGATTGGCGGCATTCGCTGAAGCATGGTAACTGTTATATCCCTAGTGTCCAAGTGTAATGCCTAATAGAAATTCAACAGATGTTTGCTGGCTGAATGAAGCATGGATGGAGAAATTAATGAATGATGAATGAATAAATGAATGTTCCCCAATATCTTTTTTTGACTTTTCCTCCCTTCTCCCTTCCCTCCCTCCCTGCTTTCTTCTCATATTCTCTGAGCCTCTGTCCAGGGACTAAAGCCAAATATGCCGAGACTCTATCTTCAAGGAGTTCAGCTCACTCAGACTCCAACCAGTAAAACAGTCTTTGAGCTGTGTCTTGAGCATTGCTCTGAGAGAGCTTAGGCTGCTGGAAACATAGTGCCAACTCAGCCTGGAGCCTGGAAAGGCTTCCCAGAGGAGGAGGCATTGGCACTGGATCTTGGATGGTGCAGAATTCACCATGAGAGCTCACCAGGCAGAGGGGCCAGGGACACTGTGGGAGGACACAAAGTCTGTTGGGGGTTGGCAAGTCAGGCTAGAGTTTAGGACTGAGGGTGGTGCTGGGAGCTGAGACGGGTGGGCAGGGGCCAGTTTTCCAAAAGGAAATTGTGTTATAAAGGGCTGATGAAGAGGTTAGGCTGGTGGACTGTGGTGATCAGATTGACATTTTCCAGAGACAGATCTGCTATACACTATGGTTGAAGGTGGCCAGACTAGAGACTGAGAGACTGTGGGGTAGCCAAGAGCGAGATGGGGTGGCTGGCTAAGGGCAGAGACAGAAGGGGTGGAGAGGAGCAGGGGATATTGAGGGGCATTTGGATAATGCCCACATCTTGGAGAGGGTCTGGAAATGGAAACTAAGGGGAGGAGTAGGCGGGGTCAGATGGTAAACTCATTCCATCAGTGATGAATTAGTTTGAAGTGCTGAGCACTGGGTAAGCGGTGAGGGAATAAAGCCACCAGCAGGCTGTCAGATACTGACTGTACTCAGGACAGGTCCCAACAGAAGTTATGATTTATTAGAGGGACACAGTCAATCCCAGGGAGGGGTGGGCACTGCAAGAGCTCCCTGAATCCAGGGTGGCAAGCACCTCTGACTCCATCAGTGCAGATGGTCCCAGTCGGCCTTTCTGACACCATTTGAGACAGCATCCTGGCCTCTGCTCGCAACTCAGCTTTCTGCCCCTTGGGTTGCTCAGGCCAGTCTCTGCTGGGCCGGAATCTAGAACAGTGGCTCTCAATCTTCCTAATGCTGCAACCCTTTAAAACAGTTCCTTGTGTTGTGGTGACCTCCCCCAACCATAAAATAGTTTTTGTTTATATTCCATAACTGTAATTTTGCTATTGTTATGAATTGCAATGTTAATATAAGTTTTCTAATGGTCTTGGGTGACCCATGTGAAAGAGCCTATCAACCTCCAAAGGGGCTGAGACCCACAGGTTGAGAACCGCTGATCTAGAGGGTAGGGCTAAAGAATATCCTTACCTAGAAGTCGGAATACAATCCCGCTCTCTGGGCCAAGGCTGGCCCATGAAGAGGCTAGAACTCTGATGATACTGGTCTCACTATAACTGTCTGAACTCACATGGAACACTTGTTGGAGACTCTTCCTCCCATCTTGGAATCCTGACTTCAATGAGACAGTAGTACCAGGACACTGGACTCTGACTCAGCTTGGGCCTGCCTACTCCCACAACAGCACCCTGCAGCAGAATTTCTCCAAGACACTACCTAGATCAACCCTCCCATCACTCAGATGGAGATGCTGAGACCTGGGGAAGGAATGGCTTACTCAAACCCACCTAATCAATGACAGAACTTGGGCTTCAGGTCAAGGATGTCTATGGTCCAAAGTTTTTCCATCTGTACTTATGACTGTTTATTTCCAAGCTCCAAGACCATGTGTCTCAGATATTCTGTGGACTGACGCACGCTTGGGAATAAGGAAAAGGTTTCCTGAAAGGCAAAGACGAACAGGAGGCAGAAGAATGCCGAATGCATTTATTGCTTTGAATTCTACAAGAGGCACAAGGCAGAATACAGGCGAGCTGTCATGGGTTTTAGAGAAGACCATTTAAGTGAGAAGGCAGTCACTATGACGACTGCAGAAACAGCTGTAGTTTCTCAAAGCTGCCTCCTGCTGGTTCTCTGAGGAAATGCAGGTAGAAGCTGATCTATGTATGCCACAGCATCAGCTAGACATCTAACAGGGTCTCTTCTCTGGAAGGCATCCCTAGCCTGGGACTCCTTAGCTACAAGGGATGCTGCACCAGGCGGGAGCTGAGTACTCTCTCATTTTCCCAGGGCCTGGTTCCCAACCCACAGGCAATAGGGACCTACTAAGATCACCCCTCTATTCCAATGTACTCCATCCCAACCCTGACTTTATTCCATCCTGACCTAGCTTCCCCTAGCCTTACTCAGGAGCTCTAGATCACCCTGATATGTGGGTAAATCTAATTACCCCCAAATAGCACCATCCCTTACCTTTAACAACATCCTAGTATTTTTTCCCACCTACATTTATTTGTGCCTCATCTAACTCCAGCACTCCCATCCCCAGGCTCTGAATTCTGAAGCTGATGTACTGAACCTCAAGGGACTATCTGTGGACTATGCAAACCAAAAAACTCAGTTATTCTTCCCCGAGTCACTCTTGGGGACTGGAATCAGAGTCACTGAGGTTAAGGGGATAGGCACCTCAAGGCCACCAGGTATAGGCATAAGCCAGGCTTCAGTGAGATGTGAGAAAAATGAATATAACATGCCCATTCTTCTGGGCATAGCATAGACACTATGACAGGCCCAGATTGGCACAGCCCCTTGACTTCCCACCCAGGTTTATTTGTCTCGGAATTCAAGCCCCATGAACCTCCCCCTTCATCCTCCCTTGCTTTCTAATGCTATGGAGTGAATTTCAAGAATCCTCAGAGGTCAGAAGTCAGCTCCATCCAATACCGGAGTCTCCTCTATGCATCCCGGCCGTGGGCTTGCGTATTCTGCAACAAGGACCCCTTTCCAAATAGGTAATACACCCTAGACTAGGGTAACCATATTAGACTGCCATCTCGTCTTTCCCCAGTTTTGAGAAACCTAAAACTAGCCATCAATGAGTCCAGAAAAACAAGGGTCTGGGACTCCTGAGATCCATAGTCCCAGGGAACTTTACACTCTGCTCTTCCCTGGCCATAGGGATATTCTAGACATCCTGAGCTGGGTGGGGTAGAGAAAGCAGCATGGCAGAGCCTGGGGAGAATCTTCCAGCCCCTTCTCCCTAGAGGGGCCCAGCAGGGCACCTTGAGCTTGCCTGGGAGATCTCTTTAAAGGTCACCAGATAAAAATAGAACTAGTCTGAGAAGAGATGGAAAACAGCTGCTCCCGCCTGGGACTTGGTGCCAGGAGCCAACGGTCAAGCCAGGGCCTGGGCATGGGTCACGGCCTAGGTTCTTTTCAACACACACTTCATTTGCCAGGCTGTGGAGAACAGTGTTGGAGGAAGGAGCGTGGAAGCCTGGCATGCTGAAGGGCAATGGCTGTGTGCTTAGCTGCCTCCCGCAAGGCACGCGTGTACGGAAGGAAAGGGACGATGTCTGGAGACTGCATTGGCCAAAGCTAAGGATCAAAGACAAGAGGCTCTTCCTCTGAGCCATACAGATAAATGGCAAAGCCAAGGGCTACAACCCAAGTTTGACTGACAGCCCCCCAAGCCCGGAGCTCTCCTTCCCTGACCCCATTTTTCTCTAGAGCTGTCCAATGAGGTCAGACCCTTCGGATCTTGGTGCTGGGGTTCCCCAAGCTTAGTGCCTCTTCTGGCTCGACCCTCCCGGGGTGGGGATGGAACTTTAGGTGGTGCAGGAGGCCTCGGTGGGGAGACTACCACGCTTGAGCCTCAGGCTGCCATTCCAACCCCGAGGACAGATGTTGTAGCCGAGGATGCCAGGCGACTTAAGCCCAGAGTCCTCAGAGTCGAGAGACACGTCGGAGTCTGTGGGTGAGCGGCGGTAGGGAAAAGGCCTGGACGGCGCGGCCTGAGGACTTCGGGGACTAGCGCAGGACGAAGACCCGACGGGCAACGGGCTCCGCGGGATGGGGGCAAAAGTAGCTCCGCGGTAGCTGCCAGCCGCGCGGGCTGGCTGCGGAGAGCGCATGCGCGCCGGTGGCGGCGGCGGCCCCTGCGGAGGGGAAAAGGGTCGCAGGGACTCGGCGGGCGCCGGCCGCGGGGAGGCGCTCTTGCGCCGGGCTGCGTTGATGATGTTGCGCGCCAAAAGCGCCTGCAGCTGCCGGCTCGGGGGCCGTGCATCGGTCTCCGATCGCAGCGGGGAGACGGAGCGCTCGCTCCACGAGGGGGACATTGGTGGAGGCGGAGGCAGCGGCGGAGGGCTGCTCATGCTGCTCCCGCGGCCCGGCTCCCACGGCCCCGGGCTCACCCAGCCGTCCAGGCTGCTAGGGGGCCGGGAAGCGCCCGGCGTCCAGGGCGGGGAGGTGGGCAGGCTCTCCGGGCGATCCTGGAGAGAGAGCAGAGAGGACGGGGAAGGTTTAGTGTCAGGTCAGGTCAGGGTTTTGGGAAGTATGGAGTATGGTTGTCCATCATTCGGAGATAGGAAAGGAACCCAACAAAGCTAGGTGTAGTGTCTGAAGTAAAAAACACAGGTGGCTCAACTCAATGCAGAAGCTCTTAAAGCCTCTGCTATCTGGGGTCAGCCCCTGCTTGCTTTGGAGACAGAAACTCATGTGAAGGAACATAGCGTGCATTAATTTCTTGGAGGGAACTGCTAAACAAAATACCATAAGGAGAGATGGGAAAGATATATGAAAAAGTTAAGGAATGGGGCCAGCAGGCACACTGCACACAGCCACAGGAGCGTGAGAACAAGTCCTTTTAAGTTACTACTTTCTACGTCTGTTTAGAGTTTTGAACCATACAGTTGTATTAACCACTTTAAAATGTAGATATCTATCTAACTTAACATTTATATTATTTTTATATATAAAAGCATATTTTGAGAAAGGGTTTCATGTCAGGCACTTGGAGGCAGAGGCAGGGGATTCTCTGTGAGTTCGAAGCCAGCCTGGTCTACAGAGTGAGTTCTAGAACAGCCAGGACTATACAGAGAAACCCTGTTCCTCTTCTCCCCCCCGCCCCCAGATTTATTTATTTCATGTATGAGTGCTCAGTGCATGTGCACCTGCCAGAAGAGGGCATCAGATCCTATTATAGACATTTGTGAGCCAGCATGTGGTTGCTGGGAATTGAACTCTGGACCTCTGAAGAGCAGCCATTGCTCTTAGCCACTGAGCCATCTCTCAAGCCCCGAGAAACTCTGTCAAGAAAAAAGAAAGAAAGAAAGAAAGAAAGAGAGAGAGAGAGAGAGAGAGAGAGAGAGAGAGAGAGAGAGAGAGAAAGGGAAAGCCAAGTGGTGTAATTAACAGCCCAGTGTATTTTCCCCACCCACCAGTGTCTGTGAGGTGTGTGTGTGTTTCAAACATCACACCATGCTTAAACAGTGTTAAGTGGAGGGCTTGGGAATACAGGCTAAACACACACGCACACACACGCGTGCACACACACGCCTTAAACTGTGCAGCTGTTTACCCATATTCCAGAAGTAGTCACTTGGTTGAGTCCATGTTCACTAGCAATCATCCTTTCACCTCAGTTCTAAGCTATGGGATCCAGTCAGTGACTTCCCCGCAATCGAAGTCTGTAATCGCCCACAAGATCCATTCTTTGACTCAGACGCTTATCTGCCAGTTATCTTTTCAACCAGCGGGGAACTTAGTCCCTCCCAATCAAAAGAAACAACAGAGACAGAAAGAGTATATTCTCCAATCACACCAAAGCAGTTGCCAGAGGAGTCCAACCTCAGTGTCCTTTCACTCAAAAGGACCATTTGGACATTTCTGGTGGAATGTAATGCCGGATAACCTTTTTGAGGATATCCAAGCTTTGGGGAAGCAAGTTAAGAGTCAGCACAAGGGCTCAGCCCACCTTTATTCCCAGGGTCAGGGCTGTATGTGTATATACAAGCCAGAGTCCCTGGGATCTGTTCTCTGTTCATGACACACCCCAGCGTGCAGCCAGGTCACCTGAGGGAAGCACAGGCTTATGGGGAAGAGCTTCAAGGAAGGCTCCAGGATTAGACAGGAAGGACTAGAGGCTGATACCAGAATCTCAGATCCAAAAGCCGATTGCAAAGACTCAGGTATGTCTCATTATATACTGAGTACTGCCTTGAGCTCACGGTCCAAGCCGGTCAACAAATGTTTTGTTGTTGTCTTACACAGGGCCTATGTAGTCCTTGCTGTCCTAGAGCTTGCTTTGTAGACCAAGCTGAGCTTAACTCACAGAGATTCGCCTGCCTCTGCCTCCTGAGATCAAAGGCATGGGCCACCACGCCTGGCCCTAGTTAATGAGGCTGGAGGAGCAGTGAAAATTGTCTAAAAATCTCTTTTCTGTCTTTTGTGGTCACAGGGGATTGATTGCTAGATCCAACAAGTGGGAGGGGTGACCAGAGTCAGGCAGGACTGTGAAGTGACATGGTTCAGGCATGGGCTGAAAGGTAGAGGAGAGCCAGGCCTGACCTCATGCTAACTGCCAATGTCTCAGGACTCACTATGTGCGGGGGCAGAGGCTGCACAATACAGAAAGGAAGAAGAGAGCAGAACTGTTCACCTCCAGCCAAAGAGCCCAGTGCACTGTGTCTACCGAACTCCTTGAAAACACAATGGCTGAAAATTCAGAAAGTAGCAGCCAGTCACCCCAGCCTCAAAGCAGGGTCTGTGTGCTGTGGGGTAGAGACAAAAGCTGAGCTGACAATATGGCAGTGTCAGAGGCCATGGAACTCCCAGGACACCTCCTGCAACCCTGCCATTGAAGAGAATGGGAAACCAGGGCCAGAGACAGGCAGAGGCTGCGCAAAGTCTCCAGGAACCAGCTTTTTCTTCTCCACTGAGGGAGCCAGGCAGGGTTAGTGATGAATGTGTCAAACAGTCCAATTTAGATAAAATGGAGAGAGAACTGGAGAATAAGTGGAAGACATTTCTATCCCACTTATTAGAAGTGGGAGGGGGAATCCGGAGGAGGATCAGGCATGGCAGGCAAATCAGAGCCAGGCAGATTGATGCACATCTTTCATACCAGTCCTTGGGAGACAGAGGCTAGTGGATCTCTGTGATTTAAGGCTAGCCTGGTCTACCTACCAAGTTCTGGACCAGCCAGATCTTGTCTCAAAAAATAAAATTAAAAAAAAATAGAAAAATAAAAATAAATAAACCAAAACAGCAAAACACAGAACTAGGCATGGAAGCTCATAATTATAGTCCTAGAATTCAGAAGGCAGGAGGATCATCATGAGTTCAAGTCCAGGCTCAGTTACAGACCCTATCTAATAAACAAACAGACAGATAGACAGACCAGACAGCTGGATGGCCAGATGGATGGAATCCCAAACCAATTTAGGTCATAGGGCAGTGTGTTTTCTCTATCCTCAGCACGATCTGGGCCAGACTCAGATGCAGGAGAGAAGTAAAGAGAACAAAGTGCCCTCCTCTCCTTGGCAGCTCATGGCTGACACCTAACAGGTCCAGACACTCAGCAGGTGCAGTAGCTCACAGGGACACAACCCCGCTTCCATCCACACAGAGCAGCCGAGCATTTCCACTTCGCTTCCAGGCCCACATCAGGGAGGAGACAGGGAGCCCCAGCTCACGGCAGCCAACAGCGCAGAAGAAAGAAGCAAGACAGATTTGAGACAGACTGTATTGAGAACAGGAGGCAGGACCAAAGAGTTCAGCCTCGCGCAGCAGGAGCTACAGGATGGAGGATGGCCCCTCCACTGCCAACCCTCCCGCCCCAGGGGCAAAAGAGCGGGGTCTACCAGAGGCTGACTCTGTTCTAGGAAGACCTGGCCTGAAGGAATCAGGCTCACTCAGTTTCCCCACGCATCCCCCTCTTCTGTGTGGATGAGCTCACTGACAAGGCACCCCTGTTCCCATGGAGACAAGCCTAAAGCTCAAACTGCGCACTCAGCTGAGTACCAGCACCGCCTCCACCACCCCTGCCCCTCTGGGATCCCAGAAATAGGGCTGGGAAAGAGGAAGTGGGTGGTCCTAGCCTCAAGTCTTGGGAAGATTCCATTTAAACGTGTCTGTCTTCTTATATCTGTATTCTCACCCCCCAAAAAAGGCTAGCTGAGGGGTGTGGGGGGTGGCTGCACCACATCAAAGGGAGGCAGAGAGTGGGAGATCTTAAGCTACCTGACTCCACACCCTCTGTATAAACGGGGAAACTGAGACTGAGACTCGAGGCACACATTCAGTGTTAGAATCCAGATCTAAGTCCAAGGCTTTTCTGCCCCTCTTCTGAGCTACAAAGCCATGTTCTCACAGCCGCCAGCTGATCCCAAGCTGAAGCTGGCCCAGCCCGGGCTTCTGACTGTAACCTGCTGCAGCAGCTCCTTTCATCTCTACCTCCCCCAGGCTACTCTCATGAGAAGCTAACTCCTCTGTCCCTCAGCAGCAGCCCATCCACTTTCTTTCTGTATGACAGTCTTCTTTGCTTCTGAATCCTTTATCCCACTGTGCCAGCCTGTTCTCTCAATCTTCAGTGATTATCTCAACTAGAAGACCCTGTGTACATGGGAAAACTAAGGCCTGGAAAGGAGAAATGGATTGGCCAAAGTTCCCCAGCAAATGGGAGGTGTGGGTGAGTCTAGGACACTACTCTTTTGTCTCTCCCTGGACCTTAAGCCTTTGCATCGAGGTGGCTTCTTACAGTCAGGGAGATCTTGCCTGAGGTCACTATGTCACTAAAGGGTCACTTGCCTAACAGCACATCCACATCTGCATAGCTTTCTAGAGGACACTCTTCTCAGGGATCCCCGGGGATGTCCCTCAGCTCAGAACAGTGAGGGCAAGGCAGTTGGAAGCAGGACAGAGGTCTGGGCCCAGGAGTCTCCCTCCCTGTGGAGAGTCAGGTCCTGGAGAGGGCATGGAGGCAGCAGAGTCTCAGAGAACAGGAGGACAAGCATCAGATAGGAGTGGTATGCTAAGTCCACAGGCAGCAGAGGACTCAGGAGAGGAGGTGGAGCCAGGCAAAGCTCTCTGAGGCAGGAGAGAGGAAGTGTCCAGAAGACAGAGGGGGAAGAAATACCCTCTGAAGGTGAGAATCCAGAAGCATGAAGCCAGAGGCCAGGAGCCCGAGCCCTAAGGGTAAGGCACACCCAGAGCTTGCAGATTCACAGGTGTCAGAAGGCTGTCTGTTCCAGAAGTCCCTATGAGGACACCTCTGGGCTTTCTCCAAGTAAGATACTGCTATCAGACTCCCATCCCATCTCCTTAGATGCCTACGGCATCTAAGGCCCTTTGTCTACAGCTCGGAGAGGGGAGATGGTCCACCCACAGTCATAGAGCTATCTAGTGTCAACCAGACCTTGAACCATGAATGTCCATCTTCCTGAGCTAAGCCCTGAGCTATATCCTGCCACATCTTCTCTCTGGCCCTCCGAGAAGGGGTCAAGACAGGCACTGGGATATGTTACTTGAAGCAGAAGGAAGGCTTCCACACCTGGGCCTCGATCCCAGCATTCCGGGTGGAGAAGGAAGGCCTAGGGGCCTGCTTGGCTCGAGGAGACCACGCCCTGGAGGGAGACACGGGGGAGATATCACTGCTGTAAGTGGGGCTCACGGCAGTGGGCTGGAGGCTGTCCTGGACTGGGGCAGTGTAGAGGCCTGGGGAGGAGCGGGAAGGCCGATGCAGAGCAGGAGATGGTGGGAGGCCTGCTCTGGGCAGATTGGGCACCAGGTCTAGGGAGCTGGGCTTGGCCGGGGAGGCAGCACGAGGTGAGACAGTGCGTGACGGAGTGCGTGATGAGGTGGCGCGTGATGAGGCCTTGGCAGGCTCCTTGACGGGCGACAGAGCATAGAGTGAAGGCCTCATCTGGTATGGCTGCTGCTTGGTAGGCTCAGGGCGCAGGACTCCATTCTCTGGTAGATAGCCGTGGTAGAGAGAGGCCGGCGGAGTCCGCGCAGGGCTTAAGGATGCCACTCGGAAGCCTCCAGGGGCATTAGTGGTGTACTTCCAGGATGAAGGCAGGGACATAGTAGGTGAAGGGCAGCGGGCCAATTCAGCATGGCCTGAAGACTCTATGACATATTTCTCCATCCGTGACTGGCGGCGGGCATAGAGTTCAGCCCCCTTCCCTGAGGCCTCAGAGAGGTTCTGGTTGGGTTTGGGCTTCGGCTTGGCCTGGATACGGGGTGACTTGAGGCAGGAGGCCCACTCGGGGACAGCGTCCTCAGCTGCTGCAGGGCTGGCTCTGTCCCGAGCTATTGGCTCCTGCTGGAAGTTGGAGGCCTCAGCTCCCAGGGCAAAGGGCTCTTCTTCCATGCCCACCTCCCCGTGGTCTCTCTGCCTCCGCTTCTCATCAGCTGTCTGCACTAGGTCCAGCAAGTCTGGGTTCGGGGTCACCTTGGGCTTCTCCACGAAAGTGAACATTGATTTCCGGCTGCCTCGGCGTGCCATAGATTCTTCCAAAATCCCTGTCTTGTTGACAGGGACTACCTGGCCCTTCAAATGGGGAGGCTTGGGGTCAGAGCTGGGATACAGAGTGGAGTAAGAGGGGGGAGACCTAACCCGAGAAGCCACAGGGGCTGTTGACAAAGTCTCTGCATAGGTGGGGGGTGGGGTAAAGTTTCCCAAGGGGCGTCTCTCTACGACTGGGCTTCGCTGCCCAACCAGCCTCCTTTCCACCATGGGACTGCGGGCCATTATGTGCCTCTGTGGCTGGGGACTCCTATCCGCCATACTGCTAGCCGGGGGAGCCCAGGTCTTCTCTCCAAAATGTCGTCTTCCCATCATGGGGCTTTGCTCTATCTGGGTGGTAGTCCCTGGCGACTGGATCCCAAAAGGCCTGGCGGTCCTGTTGACCACGGATGCAGGCTTAGCTAGCGTGAGATGTACTTCACTATACAGCTTAGTGGGCGTGGTGACAGCTGCATGTCCAGACACCTCTTGTTCTGCCGATGCCACTAGGGTGCTAGGCTGCATGTCAATGAGCAAGGAACTGGACATGAGATCTGCTGCTGGTGGCCCAGAGCTGGAGAGGGGAGTGGCTTCTCTAGAGAAGGTGCTGGTGGCAGATGATGGAGCTGACACCTTGTCAATCAGGAGAGTGCTGGATCTCACCTCCTCTACTGGCACCAGGGGCTGCCCATCATCAGCACACGGAGTGCTGGGTTTGGAATCAAGTGTGCCATTCCGGGAACACTGTGCCTCAGATGAATTCTGTTGGTCGGGGGTGATGGTGGCTGGGGGGTTTTGATTGACATCAGCGGTGGGCTGTTTGTGGTGGCTGTTAGAGGCTGCTGTGGTGGGCGTGGCATTGGGTGAGGAGGGGTTCTGGTTGATATCTGCAGCTGGACTGGGTACTTCATTGTCGGGAGGATTTGGTGAAGACTGCTGGGTCTCTCGGCTCTGGGACAGGTGTAGCCCGTTAGCTGTCAGCAGGGCTGCATTTTCCTTTAAATAAACTACCAACGGAACTTCCTCCTCCTCACTGGCAACCTTCTCCAGGTGGCGCAGCAGACTGGCTTCCTCTGAGTACCCCTCCATGATGTGGCCAGAGACCCCTCTGCTGGGGCTTAGGGGGCTGGGGTGCTTTGGAGAGCCTGGCTTTGATGGAGATGTGGGATTCACACTAAGCCCTGGGGCATGGCCTATGGGGCTCGAAGGACGCCCTGTTTGGAGGGCCTCTTGGTTGAGCTTTGGTGACCTCTGGCCTCGGCTCTCCAAGGTAAACTCATTCACCCTCTGCTTGCGCCTGTTGAAGAGCTGGACCCCTCGGGAGTTGGAGCTGGGAGGGGTAGTCAGCTGGGCTGCAATCTGCTGGCTCCGCGCCTTGGCCTCCTTCAGATCCTTTTCAGTGAAGCTAGTGCTCCGGCCCAATGCTGCAGAGAAGACACAGGCCTGGTTAGCAAATGGACATAGAGATAGTCACTCACTATGCCCTCCTACATCTCTTTGAAATCTGATCTTTACTAGGTTTCCTAGAATCAGAGGTCATGAAGATTCAAGGGTGAAGCTGATTGGCTGTCTAGGATAGCCTGTCCCATCCCTTTGGACTGCCCTGGAAGGTTGTATGTAATACAGTATGAGTCATGTCTCTAACTACATCTCCCAAGGTCCCTCTGGCCACTGGTCGCTCTCACCGGGAGAGTACTTAACATCAACTCTGTCTCTCTTCCACACTAAAGAAGAGGAAGAGGAAGGAAGGTTAAGTAAGGCCCCATATTTGCTGGGAATATCCTTTTCCCTGACAGCACGCCCTCCCCGGAGGGGCTTTCCTGTCTCCGATCTTACCTCTGCTCTTCCTGCACAGCATTCGCCACTGTCTGAAATCAATGTGTTTGCTTATCTCCTGATTGATCGTCCATCTCATCTCAAGCACAGTTCCGAAGGCCTCGCTTGACGTGTTTACCTTTCTGACCCTGATCTCGAGAATAGTGTTCGACCTAAAGGTTCCCAGGTGTGCAAAGCCCAGGACACCTTATTTATGTATTTCTGAGAGTTTATACTTTCAAACTGAGAGTTTGGTCATTTGCTTAATATTTTATAGAAAGGTGCTACAAAGTTTTAAGGTATTTCAAATTTATCTTTATTGGTATGGGGAAGTCATACCGTGATACACATGTGGAGGTCAGAGGATAATTTTGCCAGGTCGAATTCTACCTTTACGCAGGTTCTGGGAATCAAACTCAGCCACCAGGCTTGCCCAGCAAGTGCCTTCACCTGTTGAGCCCTACGACTTCTTTTTCTGAAAACATGTTAATATACAGGGCATGGTGGTACACGTCTTTAATCCCAGCACTTGGAAAAGCAGAGGCAGGAGGATCTTTGTGAGTTCTAGGCCAGCCCTGGTCTACATAGCAAACTCCAGGACAACCTGGACTACAATAGAAGAGACCCTGTCTCAAACAAATAAAAAGGTTAACACGTTTTATTTCTAAAAATAAAAACATAAAAAAGTAACCATGTCCCCACCCCTGATTATAACACAAAAAGAGACCAGGCTGCCAGTTTCTTCTACACCCTTCCCCAATTTTTTCCTCTCATTTTTATTAAGATAATTATTTAAAACTTTGTACATGCTAACATAAGCCAAGTGACACCCTGAGCTAATGTCAATGCCCCCAGTGTTCATTCATCTTGCTCTCCCAAATGCACCGAGAGGCAGCCATTGGGTGCCGAGACTGCAGGAGAGAAAACCTGAGTGAAGAAGTTCAGAGATTCCTGACAGACCCAAGGCCACACAGCTTCAGGTGGCAAAGGCTGAGTCATTCCATAGCTGTGCTCAAGGTCCTGGAGAAATAAGCGGTAGGACATGGCAGGGACAGAGGTCACTGGTCGGCCTCCCTATTAAGTGAGGTAATCATTTCTTTCTGTCCACAGTGCCCAGCTGGCACGCACTTGGTGCTCAGTGCTGTTGAACAATGAATAAACAAATAGACGCCTGAACAGATGAGTCACAGGCAGCTGGAGGGATCGGCCTATGACCAGGGTCACAGCTTACCCAGTGGCTGAGAAAACCCCTCCTCCACTGTGGGAAGCTAATTAGCTCTTGAGGAATCTGACCCTGCCCTCCCTCCTAACTCAGCCTAATTAGCCCTGGCCCTGACAGGCCGATGGTTCTCCTGGGACAGTCTTTCTAGGCATCTTGCCAGCCTGGCTCAGAGTTCGTGGACTCTAAGAGATGGAAATGCCTTGATAGAGGAGATTGGTAGTTCACCATTATTCCATTTTATAGATAGGGAAACTGAGATCCAGAGAGTATCCCAGGGCAAAGTCGACTGGCCCCTATGCTGGAGTCAGCAGAGAGGTCCATGGACGCCAGGTACAATCCTTGCTTTGTGGCTTTCTGGCTTCATCCTGTCTACTACAGGGGTAGTAGCTTCCCCCCTCATGCACAATGACAACACATGGCCTACCCCACCTGTACCCCAATATCTGGTGGTATTCCTCTTCTGCCCCAGTTACCCCCTCTGTAAAACATTTTAGCCAGACTACTCCCCTGGGACAGCTGAAGATGAGATTTCCAGGCACACAGGAAAGTCTTTAGGAAATGTTTGAACCATGCAGCACCTCCCTCCTCTGTTCTGCTTTGAAACAGGTCTCCTGGCCTAAAGTCAAGTTTGTTGTCTGGGCTATCCCTATGATCTCGGCAAGCTCTTATCCTCTCCCAGAGTCATAGGCTTCTTAACTGAGAAAGGTTTGCCGGTCACCAGGAGATCATAAGTACAAGGGGTCTGTCATCATCGAGTTCAGGGCAAAGAAGGCTCATGCTACCCCACACTACTCAACCTTTATCCTGCAAAACACATGGCCTAGACCAGGATCCCGAAAGATACACGCCAGGGGACTCTGGAGTCATGGGGAAGCACCAGTCTCAGCAGCTTGGAGGTGGCTATCACGGCAGTTCTCCACACAATCCTTGCATCCCTAAAGCCACACCCCTCATGTGCAAAACTTATTTACACACCCAGCCAGCATGGGCTCAGGACTTAGTGTGTTTCTGCTCGTTTCTGCTCTACCCTCACCCCCAGCTACACCAGTAAACAGCCTGACAGTCCTGCAGAGATTCACAGGGCCAAACCCATCCTGTATGAGCCGAGACACAGAGCCCACCGATGTTGCTTCTGACACACTTGTAGCAGTTGCAACTAACACTGATTAGGCGCATGCTACATGCACCTTACTCTCACTGCGACCCTAGAGGGCACAATCTGCTCTTGTGCACTTTGTGTTGATAAGAAAAACCAAAGGCCAGAACAGTAAGGTGAGCTACCCAACAGCACACAGCTACCTTGGCATTGCAGACAGCCAGGATCCTGGCTAGTAGGATCCCACGGTGTAAGGCAGGGAGAAAGGGATCTGGTGTTTGAACATCCAGGCCACTCCATGTCCCTGCACACTGCTGCTTCCTCCTTACTTCCCTGCTTCAGGACCAGTCCTGTGTCTCCTAACCCCCACGCCTCACATACACATACTCCCCAACCCCTTGGCTTCCAATGCCAGTGTGAAAGGTCCTTGGGGAGAAGCCAGCTTGAGAGGCTCAGGAAAACAAAGGGTCACAAAGAGGAGGTGGCCCAGGACCCAGACTGCTGACTTCCAGTTAGGCTAGTCACAGATAACCCTCCCCTTCTGTGAGCTCAGAGCTGCCCCTAAGCTCCAAGAAGAATGGCAGAAAGGGCCAGAGGGGAGTGCAGCCCTGCACCCCAGGCAGCTGCAGTGCACAGAAAAGAAATTCAACAAGAGGCTTGGAGCCAACCCAGCCAACTAGCATGGCAATTTTTTGTCACCCTGCACAAACAGGGGGGTGGGGGTAGAGCAGGACTTGAGCAACCAAAGGTACCCTGGAGTCCCTTGTTATAGGCAGCAGAGGATGTTCCAACTGAAGTCTCCTAGGGCAATGTCACCCCCGCCAATACCAAACATGTCTACAATTGTGCTTCTTGGTTTTAGAGAGATCAGAGGTGAGTCAGGGCCACAGGGACCAGCAGTCCTCACTGCCTGGCAGTGGTACAGGCCATGATGCCCCTTTTCCTAGCCTAGATCACTGAAGGTCTATATAGAACTCTAGACAGCAGCCCTGAATACAGGCATCTGAAGAAGGTTGGAGGGTAGACAAAGAGAAGAGCTAGCTGGGGTCAGGTAAGACAGGGCAAATCCAGAGTGGAGGAGAGGCTCAAAGACAGAGCATTGCCTCGGTGGAGATGCCATGGTCGCCTTGGTGGGGATGCCATGGTACAGGTTTCACGTGGCCCACGTACAGCACTGCATGCTCACCAGTTTTGGTTTGTTTGTTTGTTTTTTTTTTTTCATCCACAAGGCAATCCCAAATGATAATCCTGATCCACCCATTTTGTAGATGACAGCCAGGCTCAGAGATGCCCACCCAGTGTCAAACAACTTTAAATGGCAGAGCTGGGATTCCAGACTCAGAAAGTCCGACTGGGAAGTGAGATGTCTTAACCGTTACTGGGCTTTCTAGCTCAGAGCTTCAGTGGGAGGGGCATGAAGGAAGCTTTGAGGTTCCTGGAAGATGTCTATGGAGTCCTGTCTCCTCATCCCACCAGTGCCCTGCGACTGCTTTCTGTCATTTCTTTCTTTCAGGAGGAGAGTTGACGACCTTATTCTCACTAAGGCAGAAATGGATGATGGGGTATGGAATGCTGGCGGTATAGGAAGATCATAAGGCTAGCATCCGTAAACTCCCTGTCCTGCTGTAGGGGGAATAAGCCCTCTCTCCAAGTCCCAGTCCTTACTGCATTCTGTAGGCAGGCCCCCATTCTGCCCTTCACTAGGCCTGTCTGAAGAAAGGGAGAGGATCTGAGGCAAGGGATGAGAGGCCACAGAGGTCAGGACGGTGAGAATTCAAGGAAATGTTTCTCCACACTACTGCCGTCAATGGGAGTGTCCAGGCAAGGCTAGTGGGAAGGATGGGAGCCAGAGGTGCTAACCGAGGTTGACAGGAGGCAGCCCATTGTAGCAGCCTGGGAGCCTTGGCAACAGGCTGGGTAAACAGGCTGGGTAAACTGGCCCCCCAGTGGGGTCAGGAAGGACCCAATGTCCCAGCCACTACACAACCTCTGGCTTGGCCGGGGCAGGAAGATGAGGAGGTCTGAGTAATTACCCAGCCACTTTGCCAGCCCAGCCTCACATCCTCCCTGCAGAGAGGGAAGTGACACAGGCCCTGAGGGGTGCATCCCTGCCAGAAGCATGTGGACAAAGACCAACACATCACCCTGTAGAATGACCCACACTTGGGTGGGAAGGGGCATGCAGGGATAGGAGCAGGGATCCCTAGAGCCAGCCAGCTCCAGCCTTGCTAACGGGCTGACAGAAGTCCCCATTTGCCTCTTTCCTAGTACTGGGAGAGAAAATAGGCCAG